GAATTTATTCGGTATCATATTTATTTGCAGTGCGACAACTTTATGAGGCATAAATTTCCAAATGCGAACAAAAAATAACGGAACATGAAAAGCTCGTAAATAAATAAATCGCGATGCTGATATGTTGGCCAGGAAAGCCATAAAAGATATGAACAAGGAAAGTGAGCAATAAATTTCCTACACACACATATACATACAGAGAATACACTTACAGAGAAGTATTCAAATGTTATTGTGTGTATATGGGCAGACACACATGTCTAATAGCCCTTAGCGCACACCTCCTTAGCACCCAAAAAAATCAAAGCGAAACTCAAATTGACAAGATAAAAACGACAAAGATACGAGGGTACGACGGAGTGAGGGGTGCAGTAGACAGGTTTGGGTGTGCCTCGCTGCTAATAAGCACTCGCTGGTATAGCTAATGTGGTTCAAGCATTTGTTGCGCGTTCTGCTTATTCTGTCGTTATGCTTGCGGTTTCCTTGCGCGCTGATGTCTGAGTTTTTGTGGCTCGTTGGTGTTCTCGTCCACGAGAATAACGGCAATTAATGGTATAGCATTTTACATTCTCAACCCCGGTTATTGGCGGCGCTTGTCATTTTGTTGTGATAACGGTGCTTGATATGTGACAGACAGCGACCTAATTAAGTAGTTGTGCCAATGTTATTGATACTATTATTAAAAACGAAACAGTGGGCAAAAGCAGGCAATTTGAATGGCAAATGTAAAAAAATTAATAAGAGTGTTGCTTTCCAAAATCAATATTAATGAAATGTAAACAAAAATTTGTTTTGATATGACTCAAAATTTTTAGTGCCAACAGGGTTTGTACAAAATTTCACAATAATATTTTGTACTAAATTTTTTTTAATACTTTTTAGTACTTATTGTTTGTTATTAACAGGATTTTTATAAAAGTGCAAAAAATATTTAGTACCAAATTTGATTTATAATTTTTAGTACAAAAATCTTTTTAGACTTTTGCGTATTAATTTTTAGTCTTAAAAAAATTTGTATCAACAGTTTTTAGTACACACATTTGATTATTAAAAGTTAGTACTAAATATTTATAAATAATAAAAAATCTTTCGATTATTATAGGCCAAATTTTTAGTAGCAACATTTATAATCTAGTGCATATTGTGGATTTTCATTAAAGTGCAAAGTTTTTTTCTGTATTAAATTTTTTTTATAATTTTTGGTACTAAATTTCTATATTCTCAACAAAATTGTATCAAAAGTTTGTAGTATACACGTTTGATTGTTAAAAAGTTGTACTAAATATTTGTCATTTATTAAATTTCATTCAAATATTTTTAGTACATACACATTTATTTTTAATAAGCACATTTTCATAAAAGTTTACAAAATATTTAGTATAACATTTTTTTATACTTTTTAGTACTAAATTTACATAATCTAAACAATCTTTTTTTCTTTATTTATTATTATTTAAATGCTTAATATTAGTAAAATATAAAAATGCATTTAAATATATTTAGTACAAAATTTTTAGTACTAACCGAATTTTTATAGAAGTGCCGGAAATTTAGTGCCTATTGTGTTTGCTGTAAAAATTCGTGTAAATATTTTTTAACAAACAAATTTTTTGTACTAAAAAACGTTTAGTAATTTTTAGTACAAGCATTTTTTTTATATATAATATATATACTTATAATTTCATAGTATCAATAAAATTTCTGAAAATAGCTAAGCTCGTTTGCGTAAAACTAAAAAAATTTTGTACTAAAAATGTGTGCTAATTCTTTTTATGAAAAATTTTTGCAGTCAAGAGTTTGCACTCCCTTACATGCTTTCCGCAGTAATTTTAAAAAGGAATATTCAACTTTTTCAGCACGGTAGCATAAGGGTTAAGTTTATATGAAGATCTGGAATCATTTTTGTTATATTAAAGCACCGTGTATGCCTGTAAAGCTTAAGAAAATCATCTGCTGTAGTGCATAATTAACACAAAATAAAGTTTTTATTTTAATTCTTTTCTTCGCCAAACCTAAAAAGGTGTTAATGAATATTACGTAGAGAAAAATACTTTTGAAACTATTTACCGGTTTAGTAAAAGCTCGAATTTTCTTAATTTTTTCCTTCAAATTAAATTTTTCCTCCACAAAATCGCTTCTCAGCTTTACTAAAGCATAAAAACAAGAATAGAGTAAAGCAACCACGGCATTATATGAAGAGTGCTTTGAGCCCTACGCAGCCGACCAGCGAAAGAACCTTAGGCGGCAAGCGCATATTAATGGGAAGCTGTAAAAAGGAATTTGCGGTAACAAAGTGAAAAATTTGTTGGAAAAAATCTGCTACACGCAACAAAGCCGAGCGTGCAATACATTGCAAGTTGCCGCAGGTGATGCATGTGCAACTAACTTCTAGCAGATGGATGAAACGGTTTGAATGGTGAACGAAGAAGAGTTAGAGGCGGGCGAGAGCAGCTGACGTGAGAAGAAAAACACATGCGAAGTAAGGAAGTGGTGGTTGTTGTTGTGAAAATGTGGCAACATTTGTAGCAGAAAATCGAAAATTACAGAAACAAAAAACAACAACAAAAAGAGAAAAAGAAAATCAATGGAAAATCAGGAAAATCTCTGGCATTGTGCTCAAGTTGTTGTTGCTACTTTCCACTTTTGCGTTATCGCCTTGGTTGTTTTTTTCCTCTTGTGCACCTTCATTGTGCACCTGCATGATGTACATACACACTGTTTTCGAAAATGCATTAACCACAACGGAAGGAAACATGTTGAAGGTTGTATTGCACAGGCACTTGAAGTACCAGAGACTCATCCTCTCAGCTTGCACTCACCCACCCTTGCATTGAAGTATACAATGCATGTAGTTTACAGTTTTGCTTTTGTTTGTTGTTGTTGTAGTTTTCGCTATTTTGCGGTTATGTTGCTGGCATCCGTTGTTGCCATTAGCGGTCGAGCGCACAATAACGTAACAACAACATAGCAACAAAAAATACGAGCCATAAAGCTTGATTATTTACCCAACGTAGCCTATAAGTAGGCGTTTGCAGAAATGCTTGTTGGTGCGCAGCTGTTCGCATGTGTAATGGAAGAGGGCGGGGTTGAAAGCGCACTTTTAGGCGCACAACACATTAGTAACCGGCTCAAGACGATAATTACAGCCAACGCTGACGCTGACGTTGTATACTGATGGAGTGGGCGCGCACTTAGGCACTAAGCTGCAGCTGTACTCGTGTGTATGTATGAGGGATTTCAGTTTTAAGCGACTGCAACAGCTGAAAAAATCAATACAAAAGTACTAACTCAAAATGTTGCATTGCATACTTTCAGGCGTACGAACGTCAAAAACCGTGGGAAATGTAGAGGAAGGTGACTTAAGAGTGGAAAAAAATACAAAGTTTGTAAAAACATTTTCTTCAGAAAAAGTTTCAACAAACCGTTGTGTCAAAGCTCCTTACCTCCAGTGTAGTAAAATGAGCCTAAATTTTTTATTACAACATTGTAAACATTATTAGGTTAGGTAGATCAGAAACCAAGATTTGTAAATTTGCTTAAAAAATTTACATGATTATGCATGTGAAGGGAATTAAATTTAAATATGCAATAACTTTAAAAAATTAGTACTAAATTTTAGTATTTTAGTACTTAATTTTTAGTACACTTTATTTAGTACTTTTTATGGAAGAGAATATTATAAAATATATCAAAAAATCGAAAAAATATTAATATAAATTTTTTAGTACACTGGTTTCTGTAATTTTACACACAAGACATTATTATAAACACTTAGTTAATTTTATTTAGTAACAAATTTTTATAATAAAATTGCATGTACCAAAACGCGTGTGTACATTATGAAGTAAAAATATTTAGTGCCAAAACCTTTTTTCCAATTTTAGGAGAGAAGTAGTACTAAAAAAATTAGTTCTAAATATAGTTCTAAGAAGTTTAGTACTAAAACTAGTACTAAAATTAAGTCCCAGTACAAACTTTTCAGATTTTATGTTTAATTTGGCAGTTCACATAAAAAGTTAAAGTTAAATTCAAAAGTTTGCTGCATATTAAATATAATTTTAGTACAAATTTTTCTGTCAAACTTTTGAAGTACCTTAATTGTTTTTATAAAAAATCAGTTAGATTTGAATTTGACAAATAAATCTAAGCTATAGAAGTGAATGGGCCGAGTGTTTAATACATTAAAAATAGTTTAATACAAAAAAATTAAAAATATGTTTGTACTAAAAAATTTGTGTTTGCTTCAGTTTCAGTTAATTCTGCGCTAAAATTTAAATATTTCTTTGCAGTTCATGAAAAAACTTTAGGCATTGGTAAAAAGTTCTTATTATAAATATATTTCAATTTGAGTATGGCATAGTTCTAAGCAAAAAAATTAATTTTTGCAGTGAATTGAAAATTTGTAGAATTGAGCTAAAACTGAAATATTGCAATGCATATCGTGTTTAAAACACTAAACGAGTTTGGATATAATTTTTTTAAGGGTTTTGGTTCGGCATAGCACACTTTTAGGCTATGATACCACTTTTTTCGTGAAATAAAAATGATATGTTAACTCTGTGGTGAAATTCAAATATTTAAAAATAGTAATAAACATATGAAATAGTTTTTATTTGAATGGTATTTTTGGTCGGCATTACATACTTTTAGGCGATAAAACAATTTTTTGCAGTGAGTAAATTTTTTTTTTATTTCTGCGCAAAAATTTTAAATTGTAGAATATATATTTAAAGCTATTACACACTTATTAAGTAATTGCATACTTTTAAGCGTTTGAGTTGAGACTGTTCAAATGCGTCACATATCATATGTAATAATTTTAATAATTTTAACAGAAAAATTTTTGCTTAGCCAACATGTTTTCCTTAACTTAGCTCATTGCAATATCGCTGCAACATTTTTGCATTTTCATTGCAACTTTCTGTTATTTTCCATCATATTTCGGCAACTTTCTCGCAATGTCTTCAATTTGCGTATTGCTGGCGCCACAACACATGGTTCGAGCGCGTCTCCATACTGGTGATACTTTTCAACTGCGTCACACTGGGCATGTATCAGCCGTGCGAGGACGAGAAGTGTGTCAAGCTGCGCTGTCGTGTACTGCAGGTAAGCAACAGAAAAAAAAAAAAACTATTTACAACAACAATTTATTTTACAACTATAGCCCAATTTGCAATTAAAAGTCAATTCACAACAACAATTTTGCAACAACAATTAATTTTAGAACAATAGCTGCATGTACAATTAAAAGTTAATTTACAACAGCAACTGATTTTACAACAATAATTAATTTTACAACAACAATTAATTTTACAACTACAGCCCAATTTACAACAACAATTTATTTTACAACAATAATTAATTTTACAACAACAATTAATTTTACAAATACATCCCAATTTACAACAACAATTCATTTAACAACAATAATTAATTTTGCAACAACAATATTATACCCCAGAAGGCTATAGTAATTTGAAGTACATAGCCTTGTAGCGTCAAACCAAAATGTTGTTCGCCATTCTGTCTGTCTTTGATTAAGACTAATTGAAAAATGCCATAAATAATGCGACACATTTGCGAAATTAATTGCAGTAAATTCTATTTGTTATCGCACACATCACGTGTTGTTTGCATATTGTTATAATCAATGGCTAATTTAATTGAAATATTTACAAAGGTTCATTATGCATACATTTTCATTGAATTATTGCCAAAGCAACAATAGCAAATATTTTCACCAAATTTGTCATCTTTGTTGGTTTGCATTGAATTTTATGCAAATCCAAATGCAGCTGACATACATTGTTGAAATGCGCTCCGAAAGGCTTTGGAAATTATAGCGATACCCACACACACACTCACATACATTCAAATATGCATATCGACATAAATGCACTTGTGTGTGCAAATGCCATTGATGAGCATTTGGCTCGCATTGCAAATTAAATAATACTCATACGCCATGTGGTTAGTTATTATTTATCGAACTTGTTGCTTTCGAATTGAATGCTTGTGAACGGTAAGCTAGGAGGGGTAGATAGTGCAATGTCACATTTAAATTTGAATTGTACGAAGGTCAACAAGGAGTCAAAATAACATTTTGAGCTAATAAATCCGCACTTTTGAGGGATTTTTTTTTTCATTAAAAATGATTTTCAATTTAGCACAATATCGCAGGAATTTACACATTTCCAATTTTTATGTTATTGAAATATGTTAAAGATGAAAGGAAAAATAGTAAAGTATTATAAATTAAGTTTTCTGCGTAAAAATAAATTAAAAATTCGCGAGATTAGAATTATTACCATATTTTTAGCTCAACTGAAATGCAAGAAAAGTTAACAATTTACAAATTTAAAAAAATCATTTAATTGCTTGTTAATTTTTGCATAAAAAATATTGTATATAATTTTTTTTTTAATTACTAACTTAACAAATTTTAGTAAAGTTAGTACAAGAACTAACTGTTTTAAAACTTTTTTAGCAGTTTTAAAATCAAAACCTCTTATATTAGTTCGAAATTCAAAAATATTAGTATTTTTTATTATATTTTTTTTAGTTTCAATAAAACATTAGTATTTTTTTTATATAATACAATACTTTGTTTTTATTAACATACACAGCAACGAAATTTTAAAGAATAACAAATTTTTTCCAATTTTTTTCGAAGAAGTAAAAAACGGTAATTTTACTGGATGTAGTACAAAGATCAACTGATTCATTTTAAAAAATATTTTATTCTTTGGATTTCTAGTACTAAGAACTTATAAATTATATAATCTTTTATCGAAATTTTTTTTGTATATTATTTTGTTGTCCGAATGTTTTGCTTTTTTATTTATTTTAATAGATATTTTTCCTTTTAAAATTTTTTTTCAAATATTTTTTAATTATTTACATAGCAACAACTTTAGTTTGCGCTTAAATATAATAACTTTAAACTTTTACCAAATACATGACATTTTAAATTATTTCCGAAATATATTTTTCAAGATTAACAAAAAAATTAAACTTTTATTTTTATAAATTAAAAAAATTAAGTCAAATTTGTATGTAGTATGAAATTTTCAAAAACATTTAGTCAAACTTGAATTCAAAACATAAATTAATAAATTTTTGTTCATACATTTTTGGTGTTCATTAATAGAAAATTTAGAAAAATTTAATACATTTTTTTTTAAATTTTCAATTATACTTGTATATATTTTTTTAATTTTTAATTTTCAATTTTAAAATTTTTAAAATTATGTTTCTTTGGTTAATTATTTCGTCAATGCGTTTTTTAGCGTAATTATTAAAAAAATTTAATTGTTATAATTTATACACCAAACATTGTTTATATTTCTATTTGTTACGCAAATTACTATTTATAAGAAAAATTGGCGACTTTTTTAATATCTTTGTCTAAACATTTACATATACCAGAATAAATAAACTTGCTTGAAATTCCAAAAAAAATTTTTTTAACAAATTTTTTATTGTTTAAAAATTTTCATCAAAACTTCAGCATTTTAAAATTTTTTAAATAAATAATTTTTCAAAAAATCATTGTATGTTCATTTTTTTCTAATTTCATAACTACAGTAAAGTTTAAATATAAACATGTTAGATTTTTATTCTCCAATATTAAAAAAAGATTTAATGAAAACAACAAAAGTATACAATTTTCATAAAATAACACAAATAATATTTTGGTTTTCAATATTATGACTATTTTCGAATATTTTTAAATTTTTCTGTTTTTTTTTTAATGTGGAACAAAAATTTGTATTTTCCGACATAGTACATAAAAATATTATCTTTGTACTTAAAAAAAATTATGAAAAATACTTTTTTTATTAAACATAAAAATATATAATTTTTTTTTGTACTTTGTAAAAAATTAAAACATTTACATATTGTATATTTTTATATTCTTTCATTAAACAATAAAAAAAATAAATAAAATCTTTTAAATTAACAATTTCACCATTTACAAACAAAAAGCTTTAAGACACAACCAACGCCTTCATCATTAATTTAAGAAAAAAAAAACTTGTTTCTTATTTTGTAAGGAACACATTAGAACAATACCCAAACATACATATGTACATGTTGACAAGGAAAGTAAGACCCTGAAAATCAATAAAATTAATGACACATAAAGCAATAGTCTGTAAAAAGCATGAACACCAATCATCAGATTATTCTATGTGTGTTCTTTCACTTACCTACATATATACATATCATACGTAAAAAAAAACATACGTATACATTACATGAGAATGACACTTCCGCCTGTCTGGCGCTAATGCCACATAAAAGCACTTCAGCTCATTAGACACAATGGACGCAAACAAACAGGACAGTTAAGATGGATATGATAAATGTGTAGCGAGGGCGAGCGAATCATGAATTACACACCTAGTATGTTACATACATTATATTTACTAAAACTGGCATAAAATGGATTTAAAAGAAAGAAGAAGAAAGATTTTATACCAAGTAAAACAATTCAAGTCACTGTGAGACTTATTATTAACTTAAGGGCGTCCTACCTAGAGGCTTGGCGGCGGATTTTGTGCCAAATAAAAATAATCTGCATGAGGGAGAACTCCATTGAATAACTTCTTGTTGCAAATGTCTCCAGAAACACTTTTGTTAAGCTTGATATTTTAAAGGTTGATCTTAATGTTTGTGATTTCGGAGATATTGGACTTAAAATCCTGCTAATATTAATAGTTATATGAATTTGATAGAATAATCGCTTTTCTTCTACTGTTTAAAAAGTGGTTCTCTTTTTATTTAATCGCTACAACATCAAGTTTTCTCTCAGAAAACTTATTCTGCTCCGGTTAAGTTCCAAGTGACCTATTTAAATAAAAAGGAAAGCACATGGGTGTCCTTATTGAGGGTCAACAATAATGATATACATTTAGTCATGCTCAGCTTCTAAGGACAAAACTTCGGACAAGAGATTAAGTTACTTAAACATTCCAAAAGTTTTTTTTCTGATTTTCTAAGTACACCAAAGAATATAAGTATGTGTTGGTGTAAACTAGGCATACGAAATTACTTAATCAGTCTAAATAAGGGTACATATGTTCAGCAGCTAACGTGACTTCCCAAAAGAGAGTGGTTTCAGACTCACGCATTAAGCATTATTTCTCGAGTACACCATAAAATATATATGTAGGGAGGCAGAGATTCGTAGAAGACATTAAAGCCAAAAGACATAGCCAAAAAGTGCAATTTTTATGAAGTAAAAAACTAAAATGGTCGTGAATGGTCAAAAAAGCTAAAAAGTGTAAAAATTTAAAATAGTTTTGTAAAAGCGTCTTAAAACTAAAATAAAAAAGATGCTCCTGAACATAGGTAAGCATTTTGTAAAATTTTGGCAAAATTTGGTATCAAAAATGAGCTTTTGAATATGTTATTTTAATATACAGATTTTAGCAAATCCACTAGGAGGTATCACTTAATCACTGTATAAAACTTTATTTCTCTAAAACAGACTGCTATTAATTCTTTGCAACAATAAAGCAAGTCCGACTAGGTTATATTTTTTCATAAGAATTATATAGACTTACTATCAGAAGCTACTTCTAAATCAACTGCATAATTTTACTCGATAGGTGGCGCTGAAGTCAAATTCTATATTGAATAGATTTATTGACCATTTAAGGTCAGAATTTGAATATAAATACATACGCCGCCTACTAAAATTGATACTTGTACAATAATGTCGAATTTGACCAAATTTGAAAAATAAAGATTTTACGCGGTAGATGGCGCTGTTGACTATTTTTTATAACAATCGTATATAATGTCAGATGGAGTCAAAATTTTGAGGATTTTGAACTGTATATTAACTACATAAAGGCACGTGTTCCTAATGAGACGAAGCTGGTATGAAAATATATACAGAAAGGCAAGAACGAGGAAATACCTGAGTTTAGTGTATGTTTTACAGTGGTTAACCAAATGAAGTTGATGGAATTATTTAGCAAAGTTGAATCTAGTTATTGAAAATATTTTCCATTATTTCTATTTTCTACCCATAATATCTTAAAGGCTTGTACTTTTTGAAAGCAATACCAGTGACGTCCGTTAGTGTACAATTT